TCTTCCTTTCAGTGTCTCTCTGTCTAGCTCCTTTTAGTAGTTCTCTCCCTTTCCAGCTTGCAGTCTCGCAAGGTAGAGCTCATTGACGAAGAGAGAGACAGAGAGAGACAGAGAGAGAGAACGGAATTTGAAACTGAGGCAAGCCGCTTATGAGGCTTTCGTGTAAATCACCGGTGAAAGTCACCGAGTTACTAAGTCAATGAATTACCCCGCTCGCCCGACCGGGGTCACACACGGGTCTCGGGGTTACAGGGTATTATCGGCGATCTACGCGATCAGATCACACCGATCACAGCCGGAATATTTTTCGATCCAGCCGACGCCTCGCGACCGAAGCGAAACGCTTACACCTCCCGGTATTTTCCCAACTAGGTGGTGTGCCCGACGCGGCGGTTTTCGATCGATCAGAAAAGACACTTGTCGTCCAACGTTTTGATGTTAATTGGATTCCTTCGGATGGATCGTCGGCGTGTTAATCCCCGGCCGTGGATTATCGCGCGCCGGAGATCTTTTATCAGGGGATCTTCGCCGGTGCTGCTGACTTTCGTCGTTCGGACTACCGAATCGATCCACCGAATCATCCATCGTAATGTAAATTCGATCGACTGCACCGACACGGCACCGTACTCTATTACGCGCATTATGCGCGCGTTTGGGATCCTCCTCGATGCGACGTCCCGTCAACCAACAAATCCCGCTACCCACGGCGACAACGAACGCCATTGATAGTGATTGATCGCGCATCCGTAGATAGAATCTGCCTGCGAAGGAAAAGTCATGTTCAGGTGGATATCTTACAGTCACTTTAGAATGGATTCTGCGCTAGAGCCAGCGCCGGCTATTCTTCTGCGCGAGACACGCTTCTGCCGGTCATCTTGTGCCGATCCCGTGGGAGTCATCGACGGTCACAACACGATTTGTTACGTGGAAAATTCGGGGAGATTGTGTGACATTGCGACGTACGGTTTTTGAGAACATTTCAAATCTTTGAAGACTTTCAAGCCCACTATTCTAAGTTTTGATTTCAATTTCCCAGTTCAACGAGCTCATTATCACCATTAAAATGTAAATTTATGTAATTTGCTATCTTTTTAGAAAAAGTACTAAATAATGGTTCCTTTAATTTGTCGCTTATAAATCGTACATTGAACTATTTTCCTCTTTTGGATAATGTTCTTGAGAATCGCTGAAACGAAGGAGAGCTCTTACTTTTATTGAGAATGATACACGGTAAAATTAATTCCTACTTAAATTACTCAGATATTAATGGTGATTAAGAAGAAATTGAAATTTTTGCCATCAGTTACCAAGATATACCATGATTTTCGAGGATTTAACCGATAGAAGTTTTAGTATAATATCGATTTCTTTACTGGGCACACAGTTTTATTCGAAACGTACCCATTTTCAACAGTATTTCTTTGTTACTTTATATTTCTCAAAGTTAACTTCGTATGTTATGTAAAGTTTGTCATTATATTTCGATTAAATTATTAATTTCTATGTTAAATTAATAATCTAATTATGTTAATGTTTATGTAAATTTATTGGGTTTGTTTTTTTGATAATAGATATTATTATTTACTAATGTCGAGTCTTTCATGCCATTTTTCTCAAGTAACTCGTTGACCGACGTTCGTTTGTAATTCGATCTCTTCCAAACAATGGCCGATTTTCGAGCAGAGCCCCTGCAGAGGCCTCGATCCCGTGGCCCATTCACGTAATTCTGCCGCGTAATACTCGCGGGAACCGAGATATCGATCGATCAATAAGAAATTGATTCTCGACAGTCACCGAGCGTCATCGTCATCCACGCCTACCACGAACTCGCATCTCTCTGTCGAAGCACAAAGTATTTCTAAACGTCATTGAGAGGCCAACCATCCTCTCGCAAAATGTTCTCGATCAAACACAATGTAGGTATTAGTGTCCCATTAGAGTGAGCAAACAAACTTGTAAAATGCAAAAGAACTTGTGAAAAAGAAACAGATATTTTGTTTTCATCAGTTCTTAATTTGTGCAAATAATTATTATATTGCATTACACTAATAATTAACAAGTATCATAATAATTCACATTAATAAAACAGCACGGACAGCTATTCGACACCTTCCAAACATTTGTATCTCTTCAAAATAAAAAAAAAAAAAAAAAAAAAAGATAGCAAAAATAGGAAGATAAAATTGAAGGTTTCAGTTCAATTCTCGAGCATGGAAGATACTTTCGAATATTATTACTCGCTTCGATCGAAAACTTCTTCGCCACGAGGCGAACGCTAGGGGAAGGTAGATAATCGCGAAGAAAAAATCTAGCTGGCTTAAACGAATCTTGCCCCGGTCTCGAAGACAGATAGACGACTGTAAATCGCGTAACACCGGGGGCAGGAAGAGGGACCCGAACAGAGGTGGCAAGAAGTGGGAGTACCAAGGGAGCAATCCACGTTCTCACATTTATTATCCTCGAAGTGAAACCGGGACTAATGAGTTTTTGATCGTTTCTGTCGACCCATAGACACCGTTCCGTCGGTCGTTTATTGTCACTACCTGTGCTTCTCCATTTCTTCTTCTTCTTCTTCTTCTTCTCCGTCTCCCGCGTCTTCCTGTCGACATTGTCCACCGGGATCCGGCATTCCACCGGACACGGACATACCGTTCGAACAAAGCGAAACCGACTCGCTCGTCCTTTCTTCCTGTTCCTTTCTGTGCGATTTGCTTGACTTTCTTTCTTCGACAACGTCCATCGCTTCGGAGATTACTCCTCTCGAGA